GCTGATTTCAGTGAATTCACAGTGTCTCCATAGGATCGAGAGCACTGTAATGCATCACCAATGCCCTGCCTCTTTGAACATGGTCTGGTTTTTGGGCTTTGGTGTAGCTCTCAACCTCCCATTGATGACATGTACAGTTCCAATCCCAGTCTCAACACTGTAGGGCAGAAGTCCCCAACCGTAGTTGTCTGAGCTGGTACAAGAAATGTTCAAGTGGATGTGGCCCCACTGAGCTGCCTCAGAACATCTCCTACACAACTGAAGTTTACCATCAGAGAGCCATCACTGTGGAGACCAAAGGTTCTTTCTTGAGTCCTGAGTTCCTTAGCATATTAAGTTCCTAGGGCTGCCATAACAAACTGCCCCAGTCTTGGTGGCTTCAGACAGCAGAAATGTATTCTGTCACAGCTCTGGAGGACAGGGCTCTGAAATCAAAATGTCACCAAGGCTGCTTGCCCTCTGAATCCTCTAATGGAGTGCTTGTTCTTGCCTCTTCCAACTTCCGGCTGCCCTAGGCATGCCTTGACTCACAACTGCAGCACTTTAACTCTGCTCCATCTTCATGTGTCTTCTCCTTGTGTGTGTCTCTGTCTTCTCTTCTTACGCACTATTGAATTAAGACCACTGTAACTCAATGTGACCCCTCGATTACACTTTCAAAGACCCAATTTCCAAGTAAAATCATGTTAACATGTACTGGGAGTTAAAATGTCTTTTGAAAGGACACAATTCAACCCACAGCACTTGGTTACATACATATGCTCTTGAGTGTATTTAGAGGCAGTAAACTTTCGCTGATGAAGTCCAGAAGTTTGAAGGGAATAGATTCTTTTGGTCAAACCAAAATCTAGTGGGAATGTCATACTTAAAGCATGAAGCTGGACTGTTGAGTTGTACCTGCTCGCCTCCACTGTTCGCTCCGTGAAACTTCTAATAACTTAAAATCCCTCATCAACCTATTCCACTTTATTCCAAAAACTATTTAATGCCATTAAAAAGTATTAACAGTAACTTATTTGTAGAGGAAAGCTCTTTATTATCTCATTTGATTCGTTTACAGTTTCACACGGTGGGGGTGTTATTTCTGTTGTATAGTTGAGAAAAATAAGAATTAAAGAAAGCAAATCAATCAGACACTCTACCAAATATCACAGAACTAGTAACTAGTAAAACCTGGACTCAAGTTTAGATTTTTTTTTTATTATTATTATACAAAGTTTGGGACCAGCAGATGGCATAATGGTTACATCACTGGACTCTCACATAACTGACCATGGTCCAAATCCCAGACCTGATGATTTAAAACTCATACTGGGCACGTGTGCATGTGTGCCCAAGATCCTGAGAGGAGAATAGAGGAGAAGAGATTACGGCATGGTCATCCCCAGAGGGTAATTTCTCATTTTCTCTCTCTCCAGCAAGTGCACACAACCTATAGCAAAAATCTCTCAAAAAAAATTTTTAATGTGAAGTTTAAGAGGAAAAAATATAAAATAGAGTAAAATGAAAGATAAGTGTGGAAAGAGAATGAAGTAACGAATGAGATTATACAAAAATTGTCATGAAAATTCTATTATTTATTAGAAATGGATCAGAATTTGGTGCTAAGCTTTCTCATACTAATTTCAAGATTTTAATTTACATGACACTAATAATAAAACATATTATCCATCATTGTGAAGAAGCAGTCAATAAAACCAGACCAAGAGATGGCCTACATGTTGGAATTATCAGACAGCAACTTTAAAATGCTATGATAAATATATTATTAAATGGTTTGATGAAAAGGTGGACAACATGTGAACAGATGGGGAATTTCAGCCGAAAGGTAAAAGCTTTTTTTTCCTAAAGCCAAATATGAAAAAATGCTCACTCAAAGGGAAAAATACAGTATCAGAAATAAAAAAAATTCTTTCGGTGGGCTTATTAGCAGACTGTACAGGGGGAAGAAAGAGGAGAAAAATAGTGAACTTGCAGGTACATCAATAGACATTATCTAAATTGAAGCACAAAGAGAAACAATGAAATTTTAAAAGATCATGTGAGAACTTTGGACCAATATTATTTGGCCCAAACTTATTTCTAACTAGAATCTCAGGAGAAGAGAGTGAGACAAAAGAAATATTTGAAAAGACAATGTCTAAGGCAATTCAAAATTTTAATGAATGAACTCAAACTACAGATTTAAAAGTTTGGTAAGCCCCAAGCAGGAGTAGATATTTGCAAATAAGCATAATACAAGGCAGCGTATGTTCAGTGCCAAAAACACTGTGCTTAAAATCTGGGAGTGGAAGTCAGGGTGACTTCCTAAACAGGTAAGTATTTGAGTTATCTTATAGGATGAATAAAAATGTGTGAAACATCATAGTCAAACTGCTGAGAAGTAATGATAAAGAAAAAATATCTTAAAACCAGCCAGAGAAAAATTTATTACATCCAGGAGAATAAAGATACTAAAGACAGTGAACTTTTCATCAGAAATAATGGAGACATAACAGGGCCCTCAGAGCCAGAACACATCAGCCTTTAAATAAGGTCACGATAGGATTTTGGATTTTATATGTATGATGGGAAGTTTTGAGCAGGGGAATGACATGACCTAGTTTACATTGGAAATCCTCAAGAGAAATGATAGGGTCAGTCTCACTCAAATCCTGTGGTTAGTAAATAGAGTGAGAACCCAAACCTTAGTTCTCTGGTACCTTCCAAATCCTTCTCTCTCTGAATAATACCAAGCCTCCTGTGTCAGGATGGACCATTGGGGGTTTCTTATGGAGGGTGATTTCCCAGAGCACTTCCCTGCAGTACTTTGACTTGGAAAAGTAAGTGGGTCCTGATGGAGACAGGAAATCTCACAAGAAAGGAGGTCAAGAGAAGGAAATGGAGAAGATGGGAGGATGATGGTAAATTTCCAAGGCCAGCAGGGACTCCGCAGGCATCCTTCTTGTTGCCCTGGCCAGATGAGTAATAGTCCTTTTCCCCCAAAGCACAATGACCAAGAATTCTCCCTTGCTTCTCCCCAAAGGGCCCTACTTGGATGTCAGTGACTGCATGCGCTTTCAGCATTCTCTTTCATCCTATCCCCCGACAAGGCTTTGGCATATGCCTGAAGAACTGCTGTGCAGAATACTGCCCAGCCTTCTCTCCTCCCAGCCCATGTACCAGCTCCCATTTCTGGGGCTCACTGGTGTTAGTCACACTCAGAGCCAGGGATCTGGAGAGCTCCCCTGTGCAGAGGGTCCTGCTCCTGTTCCAGCAGAGTGGCTAATGAACTCACTGGTAGAGGTTGCCTAAGAGTAAAATTTCTTTTTTCTTTTTTCTTTTTCTTTCTTTTTATTTTTTTATTTTTGATTTTGTTTTGTTTTTCCTTTATAGAAAGTTATGTGGCTTCATATTCTTTAAAATAGTGAGCTGGCCCCAAAACAGTGGATGAGTCAGCGTGCTTTGGTTATACTGGGCTTGGTGGGTAGGAAAACAGCAGAAGAACCTTTTTTCTGTATTGACCGCACTGAGTCCATGAATGAATTCATTTCTGTTCTCTAATGATGGCCTCTGGAATGTGTTCTTACAATGGCCCTTGGGTACCCAGCAGATGAGTAATAGTCCTTTTCCCCCAAAGCACAATGACCAAGAATTCTCCCTTGCTTCTCCCCAAAGGGCCCTACTTGGATGTCAGTGACTGCATGCGCTTTCAGCATTCTCTTTCATCCTATCCCCCGACAAGGCTTTGGCATATGCCTGAAGAACTGCTGTGCAGAATACTGCCCAGCCTTCTCTCCTCCCAGCCCATGTACCAGCTCCCATTTCTGGGGCTCACTGGTGTTAGTCACACTCAGAGCCAGGGATCTGGAGAGGTCCCCTGTGCAGAGGGTCCTGCTCCTGTTCCAGCAGAGTGGCTAATGAACTCACTGGTAGAGGTTGCCTAAGAGTAAAATTTCTTTTTTCTTTTTTCTTTTTCTTTCTTTTTATTTTTTTATTTTTGATTTTGTTTTGTTTTTCCTTTATAGAAAGTTATGTGGCTTCATATTCTTTAAAATAGTGAGCTGGCCCCAAAACAGTGGATGAGTCAGCGTGCTTTGGTTATACTGGGCTTGGTGGGTAGGAAAACAGCAGAAGAACCTTTTTTCTGTATTGACCGCACTGAGTCCATGAATGAATTCATTTCTGTTCTCTAATGATGGCCTCTGGAATGTGTTCTTACAATGGCCCTTGGGTACCCAGCTGTATCCCATCACGTATTTGTCATTCTTGAGACAGACAACCACTGATATTTGTTTCACTGTAGAAATTCTCCTTGTTCACTCATAAATGAACCCAGATATGCTGGGTCCTCCTTTAAATAATATCCTTTTGTTCTTTTTATGAGCTTCTGAGAAGAAACTTCTCTCTAGGCCAGTAATAAGCTTCTGGAGTCACCCTTGGGTTGAATAAACAGATACCCTTTAAAAGAAAAGAAAAATTGTACATTTCATTTGAAGGGCTATGTCTGGGTCAGAGAGGGCACAGTAAGTTCAAAAGTTGGAGAAGAGAAAGAAGCAAGCTGAGAACATAAAAGTCCATTCTTCAAATAGTTTGCGTATTCTGAGGTCTCCAGAGATGCGCTATCTAGGAGTACTGTAACTCTGGCGGAATAGTCCACTATGATATTATACTGCACACACTTCAACCTCCTTTAGCTCAGTCCAGACAGTCGTGGCCAGGCACAGCCGAGATCCAGCCTGCATGATGCTCCATCTAGTTGTGCATCTAAAGAAGCATGATGATATTTTTTTAAATCGTAGTTAAAGATTTTGAATATAACGTGTGACTCAACATGCAAGAGAAGTGAGTACATGCTGTGAAACCAGCTCGTTGGCTGCCCACTGAGGCACGTCTTCTCTCTGTTGTCTCAGTTTCTGCAAATCTCAAGTTGTAGCTGTTTTGTCCAGTTCTTCACCCCATCGATTAGAGATAGCTGTAGGCTTACAAGGGAGTTGGGGTCCAGTGGCCATGTGCACACTAAGATGCTGTACTTTACAGGCCGGAGCCACATCAGAGGCCCGGGTTTATTCCTGATCTAACCTACAAGCTGGATATGCACATGCCAGTAACCCCACCCACTCAGGGAGGCTGAGGCAGGAGGATTGCAAGCTCGAGGTTGACTTGAACAACATAGAGGAACTGTCTAAAAATCAGCTGGGCATGGTGGCACATGCCTCTGGTCCCAGCTTAGAGACTAAGGTAAGATAATCACAACAGGGAGACTTTGTTTTTAAAAATACGGTAGTGAAAGTGCCCCTCAGCTCTATCACTGATGATTTCCTTCCAAGTGAACTTTTCCTTTTAGGTCAGTAACTCCCCTGAACCCACAGTCCTGAGAGGGTTGGCAGATGTCAACCCCCATTTCTCCTGTTCCCTCAGGTGACACAGTATGGATCAGAAGGCCTCCCGCCCTACTGAAGCACCTTCTAGGGTTTCCTGCCCACCTCAAAATCTAAGCTCCTTATGGAAATCTCGAGGCTTGTGTAAATATCCAGTGAACTCCCCCATCCTTATGTCACCAGCCTCCATGGTCCTGAGCTCTAGCTTCTTGCAGTCCTTTCATGTCACATCTCACACTACTTGTCCATGTGGAATCTTTCACATCTTGGCCTTCCCCAGTCTTGTCTTGCTAGACTCATAGCAGACCTTAAAAGCCACTGGTCTGGGAGCTGGCCCTGTAGCCTAGTGGTTAAGGGAGCTGGATCCTACACAGCCAACCATGGCTCAAATTCTGGCCCTGGTAGCTTGGAAAACATGCTGGTATGTGTGTGTGCATGTCCAAAATTTCAACAGGATGGAGAAATGGAGGAGAAGGGATTGTGGTGTAACCACATCCTTTTAGGGGTGCTTTCTCTCT